GATCGATGAGATCAGATAGGTAATATTTAAAAACATGTCGGCTGTGGTGTGGGGAAAATAAGTTTAAACTGCCAAATCTACCAATTTTTTATGTGTGTGTAAAGATAGTGCAAGTGAGAGTCTGCTATTTTACGCGCGTCGAAACACTGTTATTCAAACACAAATATTTCGCGTTCTAGATTGAATTTAAAAAATCCCCCCGAGGAAATTAAAGAAGAAAGCATGCTTTAGCAGAATTTGTCGGTTTTGGCGAAAAAAGTTTAATATCGAATGTCACCGAGGGCGTAGAACAAGGTGTTATTTTCTCACTCCTTTTGTTTACATGTTTCGAATTTCAGGCATTCTGATTGGTCAAGAACGCAAAATGTAAACAAACGCGCTGATTGGCTAACATTATTTGCCCTTGTAGCCCCTGGGTCAACTAAAACAACAAAGAAACAAAATGGCTGTCAACGCATCTTATGTTAACGAGTTCTCAGACTATCATAAAATCAGATATAAAACAATATAAACAATATAAAGCCGTCCTTTAACAGAAGCGTGAATCTCACCAGGCGTCATATAAAACCCGAGAATACCAAGGCGAGCAGGCCTTCATATTGCCCGACTTTCTAAGTAAAATCTGTCAGACTAAACGCTAACTGTGGGAAGCTGTACACCTTTATGGTGGCCCAGGCGTGCCATAGAAAATTTTGATATCTTTTTATTTTTTTAAATATATATTTTTAAAATTTATTTTTTTATTTTTTTCCAAACAAAATTTATTTCTAAACTCTGTTTTTTTTTTAATTCATAAAGTATTTTAATGCAAAATATTTTATACCTTTGGCCCAGGTGTGCCATTAAAAAAAAACAACAAAAAAAAAAACAACGTCGTGGCCCAGGCGTGCCAACGGCCCATGCATGCCAATTACTGCTGTCCATATAATTTTGAGATCGCAGGCTCGCAGGGCACCATAAACAAAATGGCCGATCAGGGATGGCAAGAAGACATTGAGCTTATTAAAAGACGACTTACAAAAATATGTTGAATGTAACTTACAAAGGAAAGAAATTTTAGATTTTGTAAAGGAAAAGTATCCACTATATGCTTGGAGTCTGCGAACTTTTTGCCGTCGATTAAAACACTTTGGCATTTCATACATAGACTACAATACTACTTTGCACCATGTTGAAGAGGCCATACGTGAGGAAATGGATGGTCCTGACCGATTGCTGGGTTACCATGCTTTGCACAAAAAAGTACGGGAAGTACATGGCCTTAAGGTTCCACGAAATCTTGTTTATGCAATGATGGAGAATGTTGACTCTTCAGGACTGGAAGAAAGAGGAGTTGGGCAACCAAAGCGACTAGTTAGAGCAAAAAGATTTATATCAATGGTATAAAATAATAGCCTCTAAATCCCTGTTTACACTACGCTCAATTTTTGGTACGGCACGGATAAAATTGGTACCCGTACCACTTTTTTGGTTCTTGGACTACAGTACCTATTTAGGTAGTCCAAGAACCAAAAAGTGGTACGGTACCAAAAATTGAGCGTAGTGCTTAAATCAAGAGCGTAGAGCGTAGGCTTAAATCAAGTGTTGTGTTTTTTGAATATTTTGCTAATTAGTTTTAGTTATCTTTGTAACCTAAGAATAAAAAAAGTTTTTGTAGGGTTTAGACTATACCATGTCACTTGATATATGGTCACGACAAGATGTGTGGATATCAGAACTCCACATTCGATCTGTGCATGGTCAAGATACTTACAGTGGTAAAATGTTTTTAAGAATTTGGACCACTAATAGTGACCTAAGAATTATTGGTCGTTTTTACTTAGAATACTTGATTACCGGCAAAGGTAAGCAGCCCAAATTAATTGATTTTTAATACATGTGGTGCTGATTGTAGGATAGCAGATTGGCTTAATACTGCTTTATCCTGTGTTTAATGTAAAATTCAAAGAAAATTAAAACTAATTAGCAAAATATTCAAAAAACGCAATACTTGACTTAGAGGCTATTATTTTATACCATTGATATAAATCTTTTTGCTCTAACTGGTCGCTTTGGTTGCCCAACTCCTCCTCTTTTGTGACACTGTCTCAACATCCTGTTTTAAAGCACAATTAAAAACATATCCTTTTACCTCAGCTTTTGACTGATATATGATCAATATACATTAATATTTTAATATCTTTGTAATATATGTTTGTGAATGTATACATTCTTAGTTGTAGATACTGTACTGCGCTTTTGATCATTTTCATGTAAAAAGCGCATTATAAGTGATTAAATTTATTTATTTATTAAAATCTTTCTTCCAGTCCTGAAGAGTCAACATTCTCCATCATTGCATAAACTAGATTCCGTGGAACCTTAAGGCCATGTACTTCCCCTACTTTTTTGTGCAAAGCACGGTAACCACAGGGCTTTCAGCATTATTCTGAGTAGGTGTCTATTTTGATAAAGTAGGCGGCTGTTGGGACAGGGTGGTCTAGGGGGTCTTAAACTAGTGTATATTGATTAGATAGGAACACAACTGAATTCTGTAGCCAAATTATAATGTATCACTACTTTCATTCTTCAACAAGATAACTTCAAGATTTAAGATGGCAAATAACTAAATCGATTTTACGAAATAGTACGCCGTTTTCGAAAATAACCAGGCTATAATGTATAGACCAAGTTGAGGAAAAATAACTTTGTTTGAAAGCTTAGAGTTGGAGGAAGGAGAGCAGGATTGATCATTCAAGTACTAAACAAAGTAACCGGCGGAGGGCCGCCGGCTTATTTTGAAAGCCCTGGGTAACCCAGCAATCGGCCATCCATTTCCTCACGTACGGCCTCTTCAACATGGTGCAAAGTAGTATTGTAGTCTATGTATGAAATGCCAAAGTGTTTTAATCGACGGCAAAAAGTTCGCAGACTCCAAGCATATAGTGGATACTTTCCTTTACAAAATCTAAAATTTCTTTTCTTTGTAAGTTACTTTCAACATATTTTTGTAAGTCGTCTTTTAATAAGCTCAATATCTTCTTGCCATCCCTGATCGGCCATTTTGTTTATGGTGCCCTGCGAGCCTGCGATCTCAAAATTATATGGACAGCAGTAATTGGCATGCATGGGCCGTTGGCACGCCTGGGCCACGACGTTTGTTTTTTTTTTTAATGGCACACCTGGGCCAAGGGTATAAAATATTTTGCATTAAAATACTTTATCAATTAAAAAAAAACAGAGTTTAGAAATAAATTTTGTTTGGAAAAAAATAAAATAAAAATATTTTAAAAAATATATATTTAAAAAAATAAAAAGATATCAAAATTTTCTATGGCACGCCTGGGCCACCATACACCTTGTACGTCTACTACTGTGACGATCGCCTCTACAGTTTCAAATTCATTTCCAGATTCGGATTTGAATCTGAAACGAGGTCAACTGTCGTGTACACACAAAATATTCAATTATTCAGGAAATAAACCTGATCATTAAAATCATCCATCTTCAAACTATCGCACATTTGACAAAACTATTTTACGTTTACAGCGCATACAGTAATGGCAGGTCAGGAAAAATCGCAGAAACTATACGACGAAAGCGTGAATTCTTACTGCGCCATGTTGTCTTATTAAGGTGGCCCGCTACAGTTTTTCAAAATAGAAAAATTTGGATCCGTAGTTTTGGACAAGTATTACTTGTTGTAAAGCAAAAAGCATCTTCATACTCGTGTAAAACAACAAAAGTTACGCAATTGCCGTTGCTATGGCAACAATGACATTTCAATATGACCAACGCATGTGCGCAGGAAAAATCGAAAAAGATTGTTATTTCAGACTGCTCTTGTGCATTCAGGCATGACTTGTCAAACAGTAGTGTGTTGTTGCTGAATGAATAAAGGCATGTATCAAACTATTTTAAGCAGTTAATCTTTTAATGCATTGTATCCGACGATATAAAGAGATTTACGAGTTTGAAACACTTTTCTGCACCTCAAGAAAAGTCGCAAAACACAAAGAAGAGATGTTGCTTAACTTGCTTTTACAACCTGAAACAAATGCCATCAGCAAAGTGGACAGAAGAAATACTTGTCACGCGGCACTTTTTTCATAAAATTACATAACGCACTTTTTATCTTCGAACAACTTGTTGAAGCACTCGTTCTGCGACAAATATTGGGCTAATTTAAACTTGAGCATAATTTCGCTTTTATAAAGTGCTTTTTCAGCAACGCATTATTAACGCATCTGAAATATGAAACGTGTTCAACACAGCAAAGACTAAGTTAACACTAGCAGCGCCTTTTTACTAGAGGTGAGAGAAACACGTGCAGAATATAAATGTTCTGCATCGTTAACTAGCATTCTTTAAATCAATTACAATACAGCCTTCATCTGATTGATCTTTATCTGATTGGCTTGTTGTAATTCGTAGTAGCCCATAGCAAACCAACCGCGTCAGCTACCACGGAAATTAGATACGCAAATGCGGTATATTTGATAACTAACTCGCTTTCTGCGCAAAGTTAGCTAGCTCCTCAACAACGAATATACAGCCAACAGCTTAATCCAGTTCTTACCAGTCATTTAGTATTTTACTTATATTTGTGAATTGAGATCAAGAGATTTATTAGCGTTTTTACTGCGAACGTTTATAAAAGCATACGGAAATCATGTAAATAATCAGCCTGCAAACAAGGATATTCCGTGTTTCACTTTTGTTTTGCCCTTCTTGCCATCATGGCATCTTCGTCGAAAGGTTGTACCAGCAAAGTGAACACGGTGAAAAAGGAAACATTAAACGCTGACTGGCTTGAGCACGATGATGATGGCAAAGTGGTGAATTTATTGCGTTGTAAAGTTTGCACAAGCAAGGAGGAGAGAATAACATGCGCTATAAAAACTTCTCTCGCACATTTATCACTGGATCAGCAATTGTAAAGAAGAACACCGTCGTAAATCACAAGAATTCCGATCAACATAGGATGGCAGTTAAGCTGAATTTGAAGGAAACCTTAAAGGAGAAATATGTGGACGAATATGTAAACGAGACCCCCATTGGCCAAGGACTCAACAAAATGGCAGCTGACGATCGCGAAAGGATGGAACATCTTTTTAATGCCAGCTACACTGTGTGAGTGTGAGTGAAGGATTATGATCCAACTGCTGCAATTGAGCGGTGGTATGGACAAAAGAAACGAAGGATCGGATTCGGAGGCCACGCTTATCTGGAGAAACGGAAGAAGAAAGTTGAGACGTCGGACGCATCACGCCGACATGCCTATTTTTCGGATTGAGTCGTCAGAAAGTGACTAGCTTACGGAATTTAACATTTTAACTTGTTTATATGTATATTAAGGTAATTCCGCAGTAATTGTTCCCGAAATGAGAATGTGCTGAAACTTCCCAGGCATGGAGTTTATGATATACTTAGTAAAGTAAAATCACACAAAAAAGTTGGGGTCACCGAACTCATTAAGAAGATATGACAATCACAATATACCACCTTTACCCCAATCTTAACGCTCATTATGAGTAACAGCAAACTCACAACAGCCCGATATTTATTGACGTTTTTAGCTCGGGTTTTGCTTTAGTAAATCTATCTTGTAATTATTTTTGAAAAAATATTGTGTTTTGAGCAAAATCAAACTACTAACGTGTACAATTCTTATCCACAAATGTCTTTTGCACATTTCTTTACATATCTTTCTTTGAGCACATGCATTGATAAAGGATTTTTTTTTCAAGATCCAGAAATGATTTTTCTTTTAATTTCGGATATGAAATGTAAAATGCGTTAAAGAAATAAATTATCAGTTAAAAAACGGGGGTCACGGATATTTTTAGGGAATTGTGGCATTAAAACATGAAATACAAGTAAATAAATATACTACAGACACAGGAACCCTACAATCTTGGCCATAAACCGGCCGTAGGACAACGATAATTTTTTATGCATTTTTAAGGCCTCCCCCTTCCCCCCATTCAGTGTTGCCGTTTCGTGTATATTTATGATCTGACCTACTCTACAACAAAATTGTACGTGTACTATAGAAATGAGGGAGAGCAACATTGAATGGGGGGAGCGGGGGGAGGTGCAAAATGATTTTAAAACCCAAGTATATTAAAAAGTTGCGAATTTGTTTTGTCGTTCTACGTACTTTTGGCCAAGATTGTCCGAAAATTATGTTTTTAATCCTCTACATATATAAGTATTAAATTTAGAACACAAGTTGTAGAAATATTCAAAACTGTACTTATGTTCTTGTACTACTGGATAACACTTCAAAAGTCATTCTGGTATTCCTAAATATTGAATGATAGGTAGATATTAATAAATATTGTATACTGTAATTTGAGACCGGATTTCTGGGTAGGGCCTTAATCTTCTCTTCAAATAGCATATATGTCTATTTTGAACCGGACAGTAATGGTTATAAAGGCAGGCTGATACAACGTAATTATAGATATATTTTAGTGTGCATATTTTCAGTTAAAGCTACACACGCCAATTGACAAATAGAATTTTTAATTAATCTTGCTGTGTAAGATCCAACATATCATAATTATAGATATGAGGATATATCGCGTGCGCAACAACGAATCGTGTTTATAGCCACGTACAGCAGAGCGGACACACAGAAATTTCTTACAAAAAAGAGCTTTGCTGATGCCATTGTAGAGGCATGCATGCATAGACCGTGCCAGGCTTTACAATTTTACATTGGGTCGTCCTTATGATCATGATGTTGACCAAATAATTAAGTCTGGTGCCGTATCGGACAAAATATTAATCTATATATACATAGGCCTATAAATGAACTCTAGTAGTTTAATAACTAACTGACAGTACTCATGAACAGTACTCACTGTAATTGCTTAATTTTTCGTCGGATTGTAAATAAATACATAAAATATACACAACATTTTGCTCATTGTTACTGTCCTTACAATTTCATGCTAAATCGGTAAAACAAATTGAAGCAATAATAGACATTACTCATTAAAACCTCCAAACTTAATATGAGATATAGACATTGTCTTAACTCATGTTATGGCGAGTACTGTGATTGTCCTTTCCAAAGGCCCAATTTTCCTACAAAATACCAACAAACAGAATTGCGACACTTATGCCAACATTTAAAAACATTTTATTTCAGACAGTGAAATCATATATGTTCGCTTAGCTCTTGTTTCTTTGAGTACTGTCACTGAGTACTGAGTGTCACGATACAGAAAGCCCGGCGGCCCGCGCGTCTAACAATAACATATTGATTTGCAGCGTATTATTATATCGCAATAAGCTCTTGCAATTACCCTTTCTAATGTAAAATGAAGGAGAAAATTTCCCTTGTTTACATTATTTGCGCAAATTCATATATGTTCGCTTAGCTCTTGTTTCATTGAGAAAATACTGTCACTGAGTACGGAGTGTCACAATACAGAAAGCCCGGCGGCCCGCACGTAGGCTGTAACAATTACATACTGATTTGCAGCGCATTATTATATCGCAATACGCTCTTGCAATTATACTCTTTGTTATGTAAAATGAAGTAGAAAATTTCTCTTGTTTACATTACTTGCGCAAATAATTCTCAATTATCTAAACAGATTGGCTTAATTTCAATCTAATATCGTATAGATTGCGTTCTTTTATGAACAACTGAAATATATATTTAAAAACAGATATTTCATAGGAGTATGGTCCTATTTATAAAAAAGCGATTGAAATTTGATAGTTTGATTGTACAACTTCAACTAGCCTGAGTAAGACCATGATTGTCTTATATGTAACCTGAAAGCAAGTATAACTTGAGCAGCTTAGCAGAGCCGCCTTAACTAAAGACGTAAATAGTACACGGTGCCAACACATATAACAATCATATTTGATATTTTTATGTAGAATAAATTAGCACAAGTGTCTTGTACAAGGTTAAATGCATTTTTCGTGGAAATGAACATGTAGCAATTTTCAGACAATCTTGGCCATAAACCGTAGGACGACGATAATTTTTTATGCATTTTTAAGGCCTCCCCCTTCCCCCCATTCAATGTTGCCGTTTCGTGTATATTTATGATCTGACCTACTCTACAACAAAATTGTACGTGTACTATAGAAATGAGGGAGAGCAACATTGAATGGGGGGAGCGGGGGGAGGTGCAAAATGATTTTAAAACCCAAGTATATTAAAAAGTTGCGAATTTGTTTTGTCGTTCTACGAACTTTTGGCCAAGATTGTAGCTACACTTTTGTATACCTTTTTTGAAAACATTGATTTTAACGTAATTCTTTGCACGAATGTAACCAAAGATGTTTTGAAGTAGCTTAAAATTGTCATAAAATAATATTTTTTAAACCGTACGTATAATAAATGAAATTATAAGTTATGAGATGTGCGCAGTAAAAGTGCGCAATGCAAAACTGCGGAATTACCTTAAATGTACGTATTTAATAGAAATATTAGATTACTGCACCATAATAGTTGGCTTAATGGAGTATTTGATTGAATGTGACTCTGAGTAGCTCTGAGTAGCTAGATGTAACATCAATCTGAACCAATTTTATGACTCTGGAGGTACATTTTTCTCGAGAAAAAATTGTACATCGTTTTTTCTCAACTAATTCGCACACTGTTATGAAAGTCTTAATGCCCACCCGGATTTTCGATTCGAACACAGGTTGTGTTTTGCAATTTTTCCTGCCAAAATGAACAAGTTGTTTGAAATTAACAAGTGCGTTATATCATTTTGTGATAGTTGTAGATGAATGAATTTCGCAGACGAATATTCCAAAGTAAGCGTGTGACGCGTGACATGTATACAAGCGTTTATTCTTGACATTCGCTTCAGGTTACAAAAGCCGTGTCTCTACAATCGCGAGTTGCGATTTTTCCCGACAAAACGACAAACGTTTTGAAGAGTAAAAAAATGAAGACTTAGTAACTATAGTTGGCTTTGTACCATTCACTCAGTGGCGAAGCTAGAGGTCGTGCTGAGCACGAGTAAAATATTTTCAAAGAAAATAATTTTTTAGTCTACCAATTCAAGATATGATTGCGTAGTTTCACCCGACCGCGGGTTAATAGCACGACTATAATGGGTAATCCGCCCGTTAGTCGTGCTCTCGTCAGGCGAGCACGACTAAATTATAAATCCAGACTAGGCCTTTCCCGATTGCGCTGAGCACTTTTTGAGCACTTTTTTTGTTTGTTTGGAGCACCATTTTGCATGTTGAGCAACGTTGAGCACTTTTTCGCACTTTGGGCAACATTTGAGCAATATTTCACATTTCGAGCGAATTTTGAGCAACAAAAAGTCAGCAATTATAGAATTCGATTCGTGCCTCGATTAACTAAACATACAGTTCGGAGTAAGGTTTAAAAATTAACGGGTATTATACTATTATTTTATATATAATTTAGGTATAACTCCAAAAGAAAAGCCGTACAGCTGCATATGACATTACAGTTAAAAAATTAGAACGCTGACTTTTTCGAGTTCTCTTTTTTTTGTCGTAAACAACTCCATATACGGAAGTTTGTTCCATATATGGAGAAAGACGTGGAAACAGATTTTAAAAAATGCTGATTTTAAAAAATTTACGAAAATCTTATAGGTAACTGTTCACAATTTTAGCACTTTTTGAGCACTATTTTGAGATTTTGAGCACTTTTTAGCCATTTTTGCCAGCACTTTTTTAGGATTTTACCAGCGCAATCGGGAAAGGCCTAATCCAGGCGCATTCTATTGGCTAAATTGCTCCTCGCGCATGCGTATCTCGCCGAATTTTATCTTCTGGTCGTGCTCATCTTCGAAAGCACGACCAAGCACTCTCCTCCGCAGAGTCTGAATTATATAGGATTTGTAGTGATAGTAAAGGATATTTAGTGGTGCGCGACGGGGGGGGGGTGAGATCGATGGTTGACAAAATGTAACCTTACGTAGCTTCCGTCTTCCCATCATACCTTGCGTAATTTGTCCCCCCCCTCCTTAATATTACGCAATTTTACTAAAAATTCGTAAGGCTCTGCGGAGGAGAGTGACGACCAAGTTAAATGCCGTATTAAATTATTCAGCAATTCTGTCGAAATTTATTCAAGTGATCTTGGTTATGTATCTATGGAAATTGACCAACGTCAATCGAGTGAATCGTAGGAAGGCCATGTTGATTTGGATAAAATATTTCTGGGTTCTGACAAAATATTTTAGCTCACGAAATACATGTGAACAGACTCGATTTAGCCCGCGTGCAGGCCCAAGGGAGCAGGCTCAAGGGAACTTGATAGTGGGCCTGCAAGCAAGGCCCGGTATTT